TTTACTACAATAAGTTTAAGGTAATGAAAGCGGCTAAACGGTTATAACAACAATTCTTTATCCAATTCATTATTCAATTCATTAATCCAAAAAAATAAGTATTTATTTAACGCTGTTTCAGAATCATTAATTAAATAGATACGCCTGTCTCAAGATTAAATGATTTTGTGACTAACTACTATTGCACAATTAATGAGCTTCTTTTCAAAATAATTGTGAACCAATTGTTAAATAATTAAAAAGTATTGTTTATAAAAATTCTCGCAACTTTATTGTGAAACATTTTCCTACTAGTTTCCTACTAGTTTCAACATTTACGTCATCATCAGGGAGATTAAGTACTACTACTGTCATGTTATTGAGTGAGTTCATGTTACTCTATTGGTACATGAATTCACTCACTTTCAAATTTGTGATAATTTTTACATTTTGCAGCAATGACAATCCTAAATGGCTTACATTTGAAATTTTTTTCATTTTTTTTTGTGTATTTATTATTGTTTTAGATGGGCAAACTACATTCTGTTAAAAAAATCAATGTCCAGTTTCCGCAAGGTTAATGGCTTAAGAAAATTGACCCATATTTGGGAACATTATTTTAAAAAACTGAGCTTCATTTTCTAATATCAAAATATTTTCCATAATAGTGTCATAGTAAAGAAATCTGCACAAAATTTGTAAGCTGTTTAGATTTTATAATATGCTAAACCATAATAACATACTGTGACAAATTGACTCTATATACTATGACATAAATGAAATGATGTTTATATAAATATCGTCGTAAATGACTTGATACCTCTAATTGTACTCATTCTATCAATAACATATACTCTTTACCTGTATTAATTAAAAATCTGAGAAAGAATTAAACTCACTATAATTATTAACTTCATCTACATCATATAGTATTACAAAGATATTTTCTATTCTAGACACTTATTAATTTTTTATACATAAGGTGTTTCGCATAAGGTATCAAATAATTTCAGGAAACATTCTTTAATCAGTTTCCAGGAAAAAAATTTAAAGGGGAGGGGGGTGGATACATAACAAATGTACTCGTTTTCGAGCTACAGCCTGTTAAAAAAAATGTCTGACAGAAACCATCGGTGGTTGATTTCACAGTCGATTAATTGCCCTTTCTTTTCGGTCTTAGAGTTAATTTGATTTGAGCCATAGTTTTCGAGATAAAGCTCGTCAAAATTAGAATTTTTAATTTATTTTTTATTTTGATTTTGATCAAAAAATCATTTCTGAAATTATTTGCCACCTTATGCGAAACACTCTGTAGAATATTATAATTTTGAAAAAATGCTTTCTTGAAGAAAGATTTAATATATGTTCAAATTAAATAGTAATATTATTAAACTGTAATAATTTTAATTCACTCTTATTTAAACATGTCTGCTTATATCGTAACTTATTATGTAATAATTTTATATATACATATATAATTTATAAATTAGTATGCATCATAAATAAATTACTAACCTTTTATTTAATTAATTGAACTATAATTCTTTATACTTAAAAATTATAAATAATTCAATAAAAATTGTATGCCATGGAATGTAAATTTTTGTGTGTTAAATTAATTTTTACATAGAATTATTTTTTATTTGATATTGGACATAAAATTTTTTATTTTCTTAAATAGATTACTCGTTTGATGGGTAATAATTAAATGTTTAAATTATATTATAATTCAATTGAGTTATAAATAGGGCCGGAAGCTGATTGACTCCATATTTAATTCAATTTGTTGAAATTAAAATCTTAATTTTTAACATTTGTGTCTGGAATAGTGAAGAAATGCAATTATTATTAATGAATTTGAAATGGGGCTCTATACCATAATGTAGTCCTCAAATTTATAAACTGTGTTGAAAATCTTTAATAATTTTTAAATTAATTCAAAATTCAATTAAATAAAATTTTTATAAAAATTTTCAATTTTCAATCAAAATATTTCATGTGTTTTTCTCTTTGTGTACTCAACACATATTCATTTTATTTGAACCTCTTAACATTTTCAAATATTTCAATAATTTCAATCATTTACAATATAATATAAAAATTTTTTTATAAACACAAGAGCTACTCTTAAGATTTTAATAGTCTGGATCAATAAAAATAAGTATGTAGATATATGAATAACTAGAAAAATATAAACTCTCCGAAAAAAAAAAATAAACATATAGGAAAAATTATTCAACATTTTCTCTTATATTTAATTCTATTATAGGTACTCTTATATTCATGATTATTATAATAATCTTCATCATCATCATCATCACTATTACATTATTGATACAAAATTCATACACTCGTATTTAAGCTTCACCTATAATAATATGGACATGAATTTATGAATGTTTGTGTATGCCTAATAATATTTCATATATCCTTTGACAATTGTACAATAAAATAACAAGGATATTAGGTACTCATATAATGCTAAAATTGCCATTTTATCATTTTATGTTCATACAAAAGCATCGTAACAATAAAAAAAAAAATATAAAAATCCTAAATAAAAAAAAAAATAACTTAAAAGAACCTATAACTTAATATTCGGGGATATATAGGGCATATTATATAGGCTTATTATGTATAATATTACAGGGCACATGGAAACAAAAAAAAAACAAAAAAAAAATTGTCGGATTCTTATTTTTTTGTTCGTTTTAGAAAATCCCAAAAAAAAAAAACAACAACGGTAACAAAAAAATAAAATAAAAGATTCGTGTTACTTTCAGATACATTTGATAGATATGGCAACAAAAATATTAAGTTATACAAAAAAAAAAAAAATGCGAAAATAAAAAAAAAATACAAAAAAAACTGCAAAAACAATGTAAATAAAATGTGACACCAGGTACGGTATGAGGTCTAAATATCTAAAATCTATATAACGTATTATTGTAAATCTAGATGTATAAATTAATATTTTTGTATGTTTGTAGGTAAAAAGTTTAGATTTCATTTCATATCCATAATAAAAAAAAATTTACTGTTATTTTGGAGTAGCTTTCTTATATTTTTTTTCCTTGTCAATATTTCATTTTAGAATTTATATGTCATTCAAAATTTACGAGATGTTATTTAAGAGTTTTGGATTATTTTGTAAGTAAATTATTTGAGAAGTATTGCTGATTGATAAACGCAGAGCAGAGCGTTTCTGGAGTTGATTAAAGGATATGGGGTTCAATTTCGGAAATATGGAGTTTTTTACATTTTTTACGTTTTTTACATTTTGGAGATTGAAATTACAAAGTTGTTTACATTAATTCTTCAAAACTGCAGTATTTTTGTTAAATATAAGTACAGAGTTTTGTATCTTTGATGTAAAAAAGATACGGTTTTAGAAATAATGAAGACGGTTTTTAAAAATAATGCAGTTTAATGTAAAAAAATGTTAAACGATTTCTATAAAAAAAAATTCGAAGTTTTTTACGTTTCGTATAAAAAATTTTTCGGAAGAAACGTAAAAAACAGTATTGTTTACGTTTCTTACGAAAAATGCATAATTTTTACGTTTAAAAAGGAAAATTCATATCATGTTTACGTTTTATGTAAATATTTAGAGTTCTTTACATTTTTTTACACAAAAAAAAAACAGAGGTTTTTTTACGTTTAATGTAAAAAAAAACAAAAATGTTCATGATTTCTGTGACTGCAAAGTTTATTTATTATACGTTTACTATAAAAACTGCTAGACTTTTTACATTTTTTTACGAAATTGTTTACGTGTTTTATATAAATTTCCAATTTTTACGTTTTGCCTGAAAATTCAAACGTTGTCCTACAAATATTTTTTGTACAAATAGGTTTTTTACGTTTAATGTAAAAAATGAAGAACTTTTCACGTTTTTTGTATAAAATTAAATTCAAAATTTAGAATTAAAATCGACCCCTATATGGAGGACTCTTATTACAGATTTTTTTTCTTACCTACAACCACAATTATATTAGAACAAACCTCGTCAAATATTTCTTTAGCTTTTATTTTTACATTTATACACATAGTAAGTTCGACAGTTCAGGCGATAAAAGTAAAAACCAAGAAAATAAAAATTTATATTGCGTGATATAAGTAGAGAAAAACTCCTATATTCGCCTTCAATAATTTTTCAATAATAATAACAAAAAAAAAAAAACAAAAAAATTTATAATTTTCTTGTTGAAGAGTGACTTTTTTTTTTGTTCCTACCTCTCAATATTTTTGTTACCTTTTCCATACATAAACTTTTTAATATATAAAAATTATTTCTCCAAATCCTTATTTTACCAAAATCAAATTGTTTACAGGTACAATAATACATACAATACATACATATATACATACAAGTATAAACAGAAGTTTTCCATAACGTATTCAATAAATGTGTTGTCAAAAAAAGAAAAGAAAAGGAAAAATTAAATTAAAATTGAAAAAGCGTTCGAAATCTAGGTTCCTATATAATAGCATATTCGATTTATTGAAACATCATGAATGAACCGTGTTTTGCCATATTATAAAATAGGAGAAATGAAGTGGTAACTTTGGTTACAACGTTAACTGATAACAAGCGGCACGAGTAATTCAGAAATTTAGTAAAACTTGAAAAGATCTTAAATATTTTATTGATTTACCGGGTTCGATTAAATATTGAAATTGTGATGGGAAATTTGATCTAAATATTATGAAAAATTTTTAATCACATGAGCTTGATTTTTTTCAAAATTTGTGTGATTTCACAGACAAGTTTGCTACAATTACCCAAATTTCAAGATTGATTTATTAAAATTCTAAACTTTTAAGCATTAATTACCTTATATATAAGCACTAGGGCTTCTTTTGAGTGAAAATGAAAAGTTGCGATGTCTAAAAATGATTTTTACTGTGATGTCAAAATCATTTTATTCTAGGTACTAGAATTTTTCGAAAAAAAAATTATTTTGATTTTTTGTAGTAAAAACATGCACTTAATTCGCATTTGTAGTGTCTACACGAATTAAAAGTTGGAAGGGAATCCTGGCCGGAACTATATTATTAAACGCTTCACCAGTAAATCAAATTCATATTTGAAATTAACAAAAAATCAATTTCAGAACAAAAGCTTTGAACTCACGTGAATTTGTTTCCCATTTCCATATTATTTGGCTTTCTAGAAAATTATAAGAGAAAATTTTAATTTTAAAAACACACGATAGATTTTGTTTGTTATTCTCTAACAATAATATTGTACATATCAATTTATATTTAAATCATTTCTTCTATTCACTAATCATTTATAAATTATAAAATTATAATTATATTGAAAAATTTTTTTATATAACATAAGTGGCTGCAGCATATGGTAAATTCCAACTATTTGATACTGCATATGATGTTGCTACTGGTGCTGCTACAACAGCAGCTGGTGCTGCTGCTACAATTGGTGCTGTAGCAAGAACATGATTATGATTACGTACTTGATATTGACTACTAGTTGCTGTTACAACTGGAGCAGCAGCTACAGCAACTGGTGCTGCATGTAATGCTACAGCTGGTGCTGCAAATACACTTGGTCTAGCATAAGTGAATGCAATTACGGCACAAATTACAATAATCTATAATCACATGATAAAATATTAAATAAAATTCTATTTTTCTATAATTTTTCTAAACAACTTACATATTTGAACATTTTTAAAAAAATTTATTGAATATTTTGTTAAAGATATTAACGATTGAATGAATCAAATTAAACTATAACTATTCAAAATTGAATTCAACCTTTTTATACAAAAAAAAAAAAAAAATTTAATTCAGAAATATTTGTTATATGAAAACTAAAAGAGTGTTGAATTTGTGATTAGTTTGTTTTGTAGCTCTGCAATTTAATTAAATTAATTCATCTATTACGACGACTTTTGACATTGAATTGAAAACGCAATAAAAATCGCAATGTCGTACTTATAATATCGAAAGAGGCTTTTCTTGAATACCAAATTTTCAACGAAAAACAAAAAAAAAAAAAATGATCATCAACGGTAGCAATAGATCGCATTTAGAATTTTAATTAAATTTTGTTTTTTTTTGTGTGCTTTTGGTTTTCTTATGTGTACAATGTATGAATTTCATAATTTTTCAAAATATAATGAAGAACTTTTAAATTTATTATGATAAAATATTATTACCTTTAATAATAATAATAATAACAATAAAACATTACCTTAAGAAGTACATGTATGCGATCATGTACTTAAAGGTGTGCGTATATTAAAAATTATACTCCCGCTTTCAATTCAATACAATATGAATGGGTCGATTATAATTCGAAATTGCTGAAATTCATCATTATAATAATCATGAATGCATAATTACCATAAAAATGAACAAAATTGGAATAATGGATATTTTGTTTTTTGATATGATGAAAATTTAAACGTTGGCATTTTAATTATGATCATTTTGCAGATTTCATAATAAGTGTATATTGTGTTGGGTTCGCAAAATGCATATAATCTCTAAGTACATGCGACGAAATTAAATTGTATTTGCAAAAATCAATTGTATTAGATTTTTTTGAAAGCTTGTTGCTTAAGAGTTTATGAGATTATTATTCCTAATCATCAATATACAGGAGATGGTTGACCTTTTAATTAGAAAGTAAAAAAAGAAGGAAATGATTAAGATTAATTTGAATTTTGAATAAAATTTCTATTGTGAATAGAATTTACCAAATTCCCGAGATTTTAACCCTTAATTATATAAATTATTATTTTAAAACCTTTTTCCCTTTTCTTAAAATTTTCAATTGAAAATAATTACACAATTGCTTGTTATTTTCATGGCTTTGGTCTTTCATTTAAATAAGTTAAATATTTCATTAGTTGAGGTTAATCGCAAACATTTCAAATGATTGCGTTTAGAAAAAATTACCGAAAAAATTAAATTGAGGATGAAATATTTGCCTAATTGCAAAGGTTCCTTAGAGCTAATTTGCTTTAAAAAATATCAAACAATGACAAAACTCTGACAGCGTTCATTTTAGAGAACAAATCTTAATTTAATAATTAGAGCAAATTTTTTATCCTACAGAATGATTTGAATTGAAAATATTTGAAAAATATGCTCTGAGCCCTCTATCTTGGTTCCTGTTCGGGAACTGTGAAAAGAAACTGAAACTATCCTACATATTGAGTGTTTGCAAGAGCTACAAAAATTGCATTTTCTAAGCGGCGAAAGAATTCAGAAATCGTAATAGCCTAGCTTTTTAACAAGAATGGATAAAAAAGGGAGGACAAAGAAAACATTTTTAACTATTGCTGACATAGGGAAAATCGGGGTTTCGATAGCTAGAAAAAATTTAATTATAAAAACTGGGTTATAATGGCTGTACATTATTAAAATACAGATAATAACGCCGAAAGCGCTAAAATGATTCAAATTAAGATATTCACTTAACTTTTTCATTTCGTTTGGGCAAACAAGAGGGGTAATTGAAATTTCATATTAAGAAAACGTAAATTATTATCGAAAGAACCTAATCGTGTTATTAAAGCGCTCAAGTTTTTAAATATAATGCAACATCATTACAACAATTTACTTGGTTCGGCGAACTAAATATTTATATTGACATTGATTTTTTTTTGTTTTAATAAATAAGGGTTAATGTTGATATTTTATTTACTTAGTGCAAATTACAAGGTATTTGATTCAAATTAGTAATCGAGTAGTAAATGCCAAATTTTTAATATGTTGTGACTCTGTATAATCTGTAAAAGCATAATATGTAAATTAAAATGTAAAACAAAACCTTAAAAAGTACAATTTTCTCGTGTATTAAAAATATTTAACTTAGTTGAGCCAAAAATGGAATTTTTATAGGTCAATATAATACAATTTTTGTTTACCATAATGAGATTGAATTTGACACACTGCTGAATGTTATTTTACTTGTATTTTGCAGTTTTGTTATAGTAAAACAATGTTGACAACAAAAATGTCTTTGTTGAATGAAGAGTTCAAGATCAATTTTAATTAAAAAATATGAATATTTCCGGTACGTTTATTATAATTATGTCAAAATTTGTGAGTCACACTAGTGTTAACTGGTGATAATCATAAGTTAAATCGTGTAATTTATTGAAATCTAAATCGTCCTTGGACTCATTTGTTTAGTATAATAGGTTTAATGGTAAAATAATATTTAATTTATTAAAAGTGTGATCCACAGCCCCAATTTGAACTGTCTTTTATCTTAATATTTTCATTACTTCATATAACATTTTTAAACTTCAGAGAAGGCAAGTCTCGTCTCAACTAATTGAATAATTATTTATGGGCCTAATTAATGTGAACACTTCCAGGTTTTGCAAAGAGGATGAGGAGACCTTAGTGCACCTTTTTAGTTGATATGTTATGTTGGTTAAGGCGCACTGTTACGCCATCTGCACAATCTAAAATCTACAATCTACCCAGCTAATAACTGTAAGACCACAAATATACGCCTGGGTCTGAAGGAGATAAATAGATTACTTGTCATGCTTGCCAACTTAGTAAATGTTTCTTAAAAATTCGCCTTGTGTTTTAGTCAAAAATTATTATCAACAAGGTATTTTTCTTCAATTTTTGAATAAAAATTTCTATTTGTCCTGCTTTCCTCTCCAACCTAGTTAAATAATGTTCTTGGCCAACACAGCACGCTTTATATGAATATTGCGATATGTTTGTGAATTTAATACAATTACACGATTCTAAAAAAGTTTACAATTGCTTTTATGAAAAATATTCATTACTCATAAATATGCATAATTATAAAAATTTTAAATTATTGCCTAAATATATGCAATCCATTCCGTACATATGCAAATTGATTTAGATAGTCAGGAAACGGTAAATTTATAATTTTCATCACGTACTTAAGAATTAACCAAGCAACTATACGATTTTATTTTCCTTCTATTATTATTTTTTTTTAATTCTAAATTTGCTGTACATGCTGATATATAGGGAACATAAAAACAACAAAAATAAATGCAATAAAAATATTATTCAGAATGGATAAAGTGTAGAGGTTCTGCTTGAGTTTTTATTAACAATGTCTTCAATATTATTAGCGTATATTTGAAAATTTATGAACATTTTCACTTTTCATGTCTATTAGGCGTATCTTAAAAAAAAAGAGAAGAAAAAAAAATTAGAAAATAAAACCGGAGGAAACTGAAAGGAAAAAGTAAAAAAAAATCAAAACAAAAAAATTATAGAGAGAATCCGAATGAACGAACAATAACTGAAAATTACTTTAATGCTCGCATACACTCACACACAAATATAAATTTAACATGTCATATATTTTTGTATTAAATATCTGCGCATATATAACATACGTACATATAAATTGAATTATAAGAATAAAATAGAAATTTGTCGGGATCAATGTCGAAATTGATGATCTAGAGAACATAAACAGCATATTATAACCATCATATTATTATAAGAAATGTGAACTTAAAGAAAAATAATAAATTCTCTCCCGATTTCTCATATAGAATTAAGAATATAAATTCTAAGCAGTTTTGACTTATTGAGAATATTAAGGTACTAATAGTTTTGTTGCTTTTTCACTTTGAGTTCCTTTCCTATCCTGACCTTTTCTACCCTTAAAAGGGAGAATAGAATGACATGTGGAGAAAATAGAGACAAAATTTTGATTTTCTGAGAAATTGGGAGAAAATTCATTTTCCATTTTTAAAAAAAATATTATAAAATTTTTCTTGTTTTTTTCTTTGGAAATTTACCATGCTATTGACAGGAAAATTATTTGATTTCAAAATAAAATTTGAAGTGGGCCTAATGTAGTCCTGACCTTTATAAAAAAAAAATTGATTGTAATTGTATGTAATTTTTCAAATATTGAATTTTAAAAACTTTAAAAATAACTTTAAAAGTTTAAATATAAAGCCAATAAAATTTCCGACACAAATGTTCCGGTTTTGTTGTTACCATTTAGACTTATGACAATTTATGGTACTTTACATAACAAAAATAATTGCATTTTCTCGCCTGATCAACGCTATCAAGCCATTTTTCTTCCTTTTACAAATTTGAAAATTTAATATTGCAAATAATTCATTAAAATTTCCCAAATTTACTGGACTTTTGCATGGGGCTTGAAAATATTGAACTTTATTTTGCGAAATAGACACATTGACCAAAGATTTTTAAGATTTCATAACAAAATAATTTTTTTTTGTGATATTTTGCTCTTTTTCAATATGATCCCTGAAATCTTGCCTTATTGACTCGCATTTTAAATCAAAATATTATTCAAAACACGATTACCACTAAATGAGCACGCGTCAAGCGGTTAAAATTAAATTATCACACCTTAAAATATCATTAACAAATTTATTTATATTATTGTATACAAACATATTTATCTAATTTTTCATTGGACATTTTGACAACCTTCTTATACAAAACAAAAAAAATTCACAATAAAATTTACAAAATTTGTTTTTTTTTTTTGAAATAACTACCATACTGCTGCGGTATATGGTAAATTCCAACTATTTGATACTGCATATGATGCTGCTATTGGTGCTGCTGCTACAATTGGTGCTGCAGCAACAACATGATTATGATTACGTACTTGATATTGACTACTTGTAGCTGTAACAACTGGTGGTGCTATTGCTACTGCTAATGGTTCAGCATGAAAAGCAACTGCTGCTGGTGCTGTATGTAATGCAACTGGTGCAATATGACTTGGTCTTGCTGATGTTAAAGCAATTATAGCACAAATTAAAGCAATCTATAAAAGGATTTTAAAATTCAAAAAAAAATTTTAATGAGCTTTTAAAAGGATATTAAAAAATTTTTTCTTATCTTACATATTTGAACATGGTGTTTATTAAGTTTTTTTTATAAATTGTCTAATTGAATAGAAGTGATCGAAATAATGAATTGATTTAGACTATACTAAATTTAAAATATTTTCAATCTTTTTATACAAATTCGAAAATTTTTAATTTTATTTTCTTTTGTAAAATTAAAATATTCTTGTAGTTACAAAATATACGAAATAAATTGGTTTTTTTTTTTTTATTCAATCACCTTAATTGGTGTCATTGGATGAAGGTGAATGCAATGAAAATTATTTGTACGTTTAATAAAAACTACTTTGGAATACATAATTTTTTTTTCTCTCTCTCTTGTGTTTTCTTTAAATTTTTCGAATTTGATTTAAAAGCGTACGTATTTTAATTTTAAAATAATATTGTTTTGCCGATTGAAAATAGAATGAAAGCGAAATTTTTTATATAACATGAGTGAAATATGGAAATGAACTTTATAATACTTTTAGTTAAAAAATATGAATGAATTAAAATTGTTTGGAAATTCTCTTATACCGCATCCCGCAGTATGATTAATTAAATATCCAAGTAAAATTTGAAATATTGCAATAAAAATGCAAGAAAAATTAAAAATGTGAGTATGAGAAATGCGAAAATTTAAAAAATAAAAATTTACTATATAAGCATTAAAATAAATTGGAAATAAGCACAGTTGAATTTCAGATCTTCAAACAATTTCATTGCTTTAATTAAATTTTTAAAAAATTTACACAAAATCACATTAAGAAATGTTCAAATTTGTAAGGATTTTTTGCTTTATATTTCACTGAAATATTAAAATTTTTCTAAAATTTTTCCAAAACATTTTATAGATTATTGTTATTTTTGCTATTATTGCTACCATTTTGGCTAAACCAAGTGTTATTACACCATCATTAGCTTATAATACATTACCACATTATGGATTAGCTGTTGGACCAGCAATTGTAACAGCAACTAGTAGTCAATATCAAGCACGTAATCATAATGCTTATGCTTTACCAGTTGTAAATGCTGTTCATCATCCAATTATTTCATCATATGGATATTCAAATAGTTGGAATTTACCATATGCTGCAGCTTCCGGTTATGTTTTTTAAAAAATATTTTTTAAATATTCTTTTTTAAAATATTAACAAAAATATTAATAAAAAAAAAAAGAAAATTAATGACTGATGACTGAAATGACTGATTTTTGTTTATAAATATATATTTGTGTAATTATAAATAATTATGTGAGATCAATAATAAAATTAAAATATTTTAAACAAAATTTAATAATTATTTATTTTAGTTTTCTACAGTGTAATAATAATAAATTTTATATTCGTTGAAAATTTATAGAAAATTATTCGAAAAACCTGACAAATCAGAATTAATTCCTCTCAAAAATTATTGACATTAGAGAATTTGAATTAATTTGGAATGAGATTCGAATTATTAACGAAGACACAATGAGATCTACTTTTCATGAGATGTTAGTTCCAAAAGAGCAAAAAAATTAATTACTTTCGGACGCCATTGCGTTCGCTGGTGTGTCGGTAAGGTTTTAAATAGAAATTGAATTTTTTTCAGAGAAGCTTATGTTTCTTGTTATAAGTTTTCCTTTTCAACATTATGGTAAAACGAGAAAAAAAATAGAGTTGACCTTGTCAACTCTGTGATACCCGTACGAATTCGTTATCCTATGTGCAAATAAAGATGCCATAACTGACTATGGGACAGACTATGACTTTAAGTTGCCGTATTACCATATTAATTTATGCAAAATTTCAGTACTGTGTGTTTTTCAAAATACTGTGTATGCCAAACTACTATTTAAGTTGTATGGCAGCTACCAGAAAGAGCCAAGAAATTTTAACGAATTTTAGCAAACAAATTGGCCCTACTAATGTATTTGCTTGTGTGAAATTTCAACACCATAGCTTTTATAGTTTCTGAGATATAGCCAATTAAATTTTGAAGTTGTATGGCAGGTACCAGAAGGAGCCAAGCAATTTTAACGACTTTTATCATACACATTGGCCCTACTAGTACATTCGTTTTTGTGAAATTGCAATACCATAGCTTATTTAGTTTCTGAGATATCGCCAAATAACTTTTGAAGTTGTATGGCAGGTACCAGAAGGAACCAAGTAATTTCAACGACTTTTATGAGACACATTGGCCCTACTAATATATTCGCTTGTGTGAAATTTCAATACCACAACTTTTATAGTTTCTGAGATATAGTCAAATAAATTTTGAAGTTGTATGGCAGCTACCCGAACCAGTACCCCGATCATGTCCAATTTAAATAGGGTTCTGACACTTACTACAATAAATCATTTGTGAAAATTTGATGAAGTTAGCTCAATTAGTTTTTGAGTTATCGTTGGCACGGACGGACGGACGGACGGACAGACAAAGCTAAATCAACTCAGAATTTGACGCTGACCAAAAACATACACTTGAGTCTATATCTAAGACCGTTATTTCTTAGCGTTACAAACGGTAAGGCAAATTTAGTATACCCTTCGAACATACGTTCGTACGGGTATAATAAAAATACATAAACATGAAATTAAGGATTTATTTTCCAATTCAATAATATGATATTCAAAATAAAAGGTCTACCACTACTGACTGTAACCCCAGCAAAATTTAACTACTTTGGAATGAATACAGAATTTTTCCAAGAGAGTATAAAGTGTGCGATAATGTCAAAAATTAATAATTTTAAAATAGTGATTTAATTCGTCACCTACCGCCCCCCCCCCCCCTTTTAATCGAAATAGTTCCACCATTTCCGTCGATAAACATAATAAATTACATAAATATTCTTCTTCACTTTAATTTTGCATTAAAAATTAACAATACTACTAAAGTAAAAAAACTTATTGGACCATGAAAATTTACTCTTAATCCTTAAGGTGAAAAATGAAAAGAAGCAGAAAAAATTATAAATACAATAGAAAAACCAAAAAAAAAAATAAAATAAAATTAATAAAACTCGCCATTTGTATTAATTTCTTAAGGAAAATATCAGAAAAACCTTTATAACTGTATAATCATTTAAATTCCCTCTAGCTTTTCATTCATTCTTTTTCTCTCTCTTTTTCTCATCATTTATTTTCTTGCAATGTAACTCGTGTTTCATTTATTCATTTAAAAAATTTATGTTATTTTCTATCTCTTTCATTCTTCATATACATTTTCATATATAAAGCGATTTAAATTAATTTTGATATTGTTATTTATTTTATAAAGGAAAAATTAATAACAAAGACAATAAACAAGAGAAAGAAAAATAATTTGAAGGATAATTTGAACTTTTCGCCGGTCGATTCACCTTAATGTCCTTCCCCATTTTATTAAAGTAAAAACCAAGTATATTTTAGTATACTTTGTATAATTTAGGTATAGGTGATTACAAACAAAATCTTGTCTTCTCTTTTTACTTTCGTTTTCACTTTCTTTTCTCTTTATGGCCAATTTTCTTCTACACCGCATATTCGTTCCGTTTTTATATATTATTTTTTTTTTTTTTGTTTTTCTTTCGTATTAACTTAATAATTATGATGTGCCCATCAACTTTTTTCGTATATATTTTCCAGGCTACTGGTAAAAGTAATCTATTGAGAAATATAATTGATAAGTCAAAATTTATAGTCGTATTATTGTTTAAATTCTTAACTATAGGATATTAAAAAAATAAATTAGAAATTATTCACTTTGATTTTTGTATTTTGTCGATGTTTCAAAGCCCCCAAACGTCGGAACGGTAAAGCTGAAAAATCAACATGAAAACAACACAATTTTACAAAAATATTTTTCACTACTTTATTCGGAAAATATCATTTTTAGCTTCTTGTCTCTTCAGCAACTGTAGATCTTTCTCTTTATTATGATCTCATAAATTCACGTATTAAAACTTTGGTGAGAGCAATAGTATTTAAAAATTACAAACATACACAATTGAGTGTATTTTGACAATTGATAATCGAAATCCTAAATTTCCCTAAACAAATTTATATAAGATGATTTAAATGGCATAAGAAATTTTGGCGGAAAATACTTAATTATTGCCAGATTCTGTTGTTAATCATACAAAAATATGAATTCCGAATTAATAAATTATAATCTTAAGCTATCATTGCGGAGATAAAAATATAAAATAATCAGAGATTGCGTCTTATTTCTGAACATTTTGTTAAATTTTAAAATTTCAAGACTACTATTTATGGTAGATTTACTATTTTGTTTTTGTATTGAGCTCGTACACACGCAAACTGACAACAGCGCAAATAAAATTTCACTCATTTTTGTACAAAACTTTTCTCCCGCAACAAATAAATTGAGTTTATTTCAACTTCATATTGAAAGTGTTTGGAATACACCCTTTTACATGATTGGAAAAATTTTAGGAGTACACTCAAAAAATAAAATTATTTCCGTGGGACCAGTGTTCATTTATAAAAATTAGAGCAATATAGAACTGTGAAAATGTGAGATTATTGGATCTGAAAATCTATTGGAACCGATTTGCTTTCAATTTTGAAAACGTCAATCACAGGATAATCTAAAAGTTACAGGATAATTGTAATAGCAAAAATATTTCTGTTGCAAAATCAGCTAATGTTATTATACGATCCTTATTAGGAGTTTATATTGTTTGTAATTCTTTGTTGTTGTTACTGTATAACTTTTATTTTGTTATTATACAAAACTTATATAGACATTTTTGATGCTAAGTGATTTTGAAAGTTCATTCATAATTTTTTCTCTGCTATTTTTTTTTCTATACTCTTATACTCTTCGTATATTTTTTTTTTCATTATTAATTTTATGTGTTTTAAATGTGAATCCACCCACGTAAACATTAAATGAATTGGGAAAGAAGAAATCGTATGAAAATAAATAAAGAATCAAGTGTGAGTCTTAAATAAAGTTAACGGTCTTTAATATAATTTTTGATAGGTGATATCTTCCATATAAATTAAGTGGGTAATGCCTGTCATGTATCATTTAGAAAAGTTTTCCGTTTTTGTTTTTCCATATAATTTCACTTTTGTTTTTACATCATATTCTTTGTTTCCAAAAGAGAGTGTTTATTACCCAAGGGCAATTGATTGGAAAAATATCGTCTCATAATTGTCATGATAAGGGATAAAACTTAAGTTTTTCTGTTTTGTTTTTCCAAAAAAAAAAAGTTTTTTTTTAAAAAGTTTTTGAACAATTTCTTTTCCTCCCTTATTTTTGTTTTTTTTTTAACATCTTTCCCCTTACTATGGTATTGTTAGTTTTAGTAAATTGAAAATATTCTGCAATATTTATGTATAACTTAAGAAAACT